ATTTACCCAATGAGTGTAATTACCATTGGCTACTCGCACAAGGCCCGCTAACTGATGAGATAACCTTTATACTTTCATCTTCCTTTAGTTCCGTTTTAATTGCTCAAACTCTCTTTGAAACCTAGCTGTGCCTTCTAATAAAGAAGAAAGCAGGCCCAGCTGCGAATTGCTGTTTGTTGTGTTGGAGCTGGTAGCGAAGCAAGCCTGGTGGTATTGTTGTGTTTGTGTGCGTGCATGCTGGGTGTGTGCGTGTAGGGGTGGGGGGCAGCGAGGCATGCCTTTTGAACAGCAGGTGGTAATTGAAACAAAACAAGGGCTGATTAGGGAAGCGTCTGGCAACTCATGATCCAAACAGTGAGCCGCCGAGGAGCCCAAACACAAGAGCCCTGGAATAAAGTGGTCATCATCTAATTAACAGAACACATTTTAATTACCGAGTAAACCAAGCAGTGCAGTGTGTCAATTTAACTGATGTGGTAAGTGCCAGTTTACAATATCAGAAACAGACAAATAATTGGAATCTAATTACAAGCAGGTCTATTGCACACCAGCGCCTGCAGCCCATCTTAATAAACAAATTTTTTACATCAAACCATGAATAACAAACACTGCAGGACTGCTAATTGCCTCACTGCAATGTTGGGAGTGTGCCAGCTTTGACTATTTGAGGCAGTGCCGCGCTGTAATTAGAATAAAGTGAACAGCAGCCATCCGCGTTTGTTTTTTCGCAATCTAACCGGGCTAAACAATGTGACTGATCTGTCTTCTGTCTGTAGGGCAGGATAGAGCAACAGAGCATGTCTGTGGGGTTAAATAGCATCATTTGTGATTAATGAGAGAAATTAACAGTAATCTGTTAATGAAGTTTGAGTCATTTTCTGACTTACCTCACTTGGGATCGAGATAGTTTTTTTGCCCAAGTTTTGATAGAAACCTCCCAAGGAGCAGAACAAAGAGATGGAAGATGATGGTGAAGATGGTTAGGGTTTAAGCGGGTCAACAAAAGGAGATTCAAGTATTATATTTGAATTTAGTTAATAGTTTTTAGTTATTAATTTGTCAAACAAAGTTTCAGCTGTTCATGTTTCTCTAGCACCACTTCACACATATTTGAGCTTTTTAAGCAGTGCCATCCAGTCTTGATTAGTCCCGGGTGTGTGACAATCGTGTTTCTACAATCCAGCTACGTCACTTCAAACATCTTAACAAAATCTGCTGCTACAGTCCACCTGTTCTAATAACGGCAGGCCCGACATCCTTTCTGCAAATTTTCTGAATCATTTTCAGTGTCTCGTTGCCGTGAGCGCGCGCACACACACACACACACGCAAGTGTGCACAAAACAAACTCATAACTTCGTGCAGCAGCCACCAAAAGGAAAAGCCACGTTCCATCACCCCTGCGCTGAAGATATGAATGTGCAGTTCAGAGGTTTCACACTTAACCAATTTATTACCAGTGAAAGGAAATGTTTAACGGTGGTGAAAATGCAATCTGAAATTTTCTAGAACATGACACATGGCTCTGCTCTCCACACAATACCGCACTGTGGTATCAATATATGTGAATCTGTTCCTGCTATTAGTTGGTATTGGATCAAAAACAAATTTTGTGGTATTGCCCAACCCTGCCTGGAGACACATATTGCCTGCTGACTTGAGATTCATCACAAGTGTTTTTTTCCACATTCAAATGGAAGCTGAAAGCACTCCTGTCCTGACGGTTTCACAGCTAATCACTGTGCGTGTTTATATCCAGCGTGTAGTCACGTCTTCTGCATTTTTCTAATGTTTATTACGACTTTTTTCTGGTCTTTTAATACGAAGCACATTGTGTTTGTGTCGTTAAATTTCCATTCCTATCCCTGTTGTTGGGTAAATAAAACCACAAATGATCTCCAGGGCTTTGAGTGACTGAGACAACGCTGTGCTCATAGGCTCATTTTACGGCTTCAAACGTGAACGCTGGGCCGGTGGTCTACCAGCGGCCTACAGAGAAATTCAGATTTATGGGTGTGACAGTGCAGTATATCTCACCCCGTGTTTCATCAGACTTTATGGACTATAATTATATCATATGTTAATGCCCCTCTATAAGTTAAGTGGTTTTTTTAAACACAAATACTTTTGATACCTTTGTGATCACTTTATGTTATCTGAACGCTTGCGATGAGCGTGAGGGGAAACAACACAGACGTTTGGGTGAAATACAACCTGCAGAAACGTTGCTTGTGATTTTATATCATTTCCATTAAATCTTGTCTTTCAAAGGCCTTAATTAATAATGCACTTGACGTTTATGATTTCCAGCAATAAGCTAAGCAAGAAACGATTTATGTCACCTAAAGCTTTTTAACAAATCAATGCAACTATTTGTAATTGCTTGTTTCACAAGATTAAAAGTGCTTAGACTTGATCTCTGTCCCCTGTTTAGTGGCCAACATGCCCCGCAACCTCTGTCGTAAAAACACCAGGACCAGGAGTCTTGGTCATCAGCATTAGCTCCTGTCACCAAATCCATATCGCTATTATTTCTGGGATTTTTTAATGCGGTTGCAATTTATAGCTTATCAAATGCAGTTACCTAAATTGCTGTTAGGAAAAAGACAGTTTAACTGTCTCTTTTTAATTACGAGATAATTTAATGTTTTAGGCTGGGACGAGAGTCCTGCAGCAGACGACACAAACAGGGTCTGTGTGGGACTGTCCTGCAGGCCGAAGTAATGAGGAAAGAGGTACTGAGGGCGAGAAAAACTGCAGTGGGGAAATATTTGATGAATGTGTGTCGGTAAAAAAAAAAAACTCTCTCATTTGATGCAGTGGCTCACGTTGTTGTGCGAAAATCAGTCTCGAGCGAGCTCGCGATGCTGGATTCTGCATTTTAGCTCCTGTGAGTTTAACTGCATGCGTTGCAGTAAAAAAAATAAAAGCCCTCACTCGGACAGACACAACGAGAGACTTGGAAGAAACGGTCGGAACAACCAGCATTTTATTGCATGTTTAGAATGCTCATGTCAGTCATCGCCACCGACTACAACAGAGTGGTCTGCATCAGACAGACGAGGAATGATGAGGAGGTTACAGACTGATGGAAGTGATGAGCAATAATATTTCTCTTCAAAAAAATAAAACAGGAAAAAGAAAACTACAGAGTACATCTTCAAAGAAAAGGAGCGAGAGAAAAAAA